TCCTACCATTGTGTAGCTTACCGTAATTACTCGAATCTAACGCGCACCTTTTTTCCGGTTAAGCGAGTTCATAAATCGCATGCGCGTTAGAATCGAGTACGAACAAAAAAATTACGGTCAATCTATTGCCATCGGCGAATCCAAAATGGCCACCCCCTATGTGCGTCGGCATGGCACGTCGGCCATTTCTGCCTACGTGTTTCCCATGTGCGGCACTTCGTACGTGTGCTGAGGAGTTCGTCATCTAGTAGTGCATTAGCATCGACGGTGTGGAAGGGCCGACTCCAAAAACTCGAGTGCACCACGATGCCGCTTTTAAAAGAAAAGTCATCGCGTGTGCAGAAACGGACGGAAATCGGGCCGCATCGCGGTTGTTTGGAGTTCCCGAAACGTGCGTGCGGGACCGGCGGAAACAAAAGCAGAAGATTGTCGACAGCAAAGCTTCCCGCAAAGGCTTCAGTGGACCACAGCAGGGACGGTTTCCGCAAATTAAAGAGCTGCTCGGCGAGTATGTGCTTGAGCAGCGAGCGGCCAGTGACGACAGAACTGCTCCAAGTGCGGGCTATGCAATTAGTCTTAGAAAAAGGTCTAATGCGGAGCCAGTTTAAAGCGAGCAGGTGCTGGCTAACTAACTTTATGAAGAGGAAAGGCTTTTCCCTCCGAAGGGGAACATGCATATGCAAAAAGTTTTGCGGAGGAGTACGATAAAAAGCTTCACAGTTTTCAGAGGTTCGTCCTAAACTTGCGGCGCAACAACGGCTACCTGCTTGGGCAAATCGGGAATGCCGATCAGACGCCTCTTTACTTCGACATGCCTGGCACCACAACCGTCGAGAAGAAGGGGGCGAAGCAAGTTCATGTGCTGACATCGGTCCACGGTAAAACTACAGTGACGGCAATGCTCTGTTACACGTCAGATAGGCACAAGCTTCGCCCGCACCTCATATTTAAATAGAAGACGCTCCCGAAAGGAGTCGTTTTTTCGAGTGGTGTGATCGTGCGGGCCAGCGAGAAAAATGGGTGCGCGTTGCAATCGGTGTCTTACGTTTTTTTTTTTTTTTTTTCCGCGGTGAAAATCGGGTGCGCGTTATAATCGAGGGCGCGGTAGAATCGAGTAAATACGGTATGTTCATTAGTACACAGTCATGTGCCAATAGTAGCTAGCTATGCAATACAAATTTTTGTGTCATTGTACCAGCAAACAATAGGTAATTAATTTTAGGATATCTCAAGAACTAATTGGCTTAGAAGAACAGTAGTTATTTTTGAAATAAGCATCAAAAATTCAATCACACTTTGAATTTTCTTTCAAAACACAAAAATATCTGGCATTTCGTCTCAAGTACAGTGTCCCCCCTTAAGGGGGGGCGCGGCAAGTAAAGTGCCGATTTTGGTCAAAATATGCGATTTTCTGATTTATTTTTTTTCGTAATCTTCAGACCTTCAACTTCCTTGTTCTAAAATATTACAGCGAAACGTGCGCCACAAATCCCGCAAATAGTGTTTTTGCCGAGGCTAGTCGCCGAAAAGTGCGAAAAAAAAGCCCCTGAAACGGTGTTGTTCACGCCGCACAAACGCGCCAAGTTGTTGACCGTGGGCCGCCATTTTGGTAGCTTTGGAAAGAGGAGAAAGCCGGCTTCCCGATGGTCGCGGTCTCGTATTTCGCCGAGTGAAAATAAAAGCGCGAGGAGCAAGTAAAAAAACGAAAACGAAGAACGGCAATTGGCTGCGCGGGTCACGTGGTAGCAGGCGCGACCTCTTACTGGTCAAAGCTGCGCCGCGCACCTTGGCAACCTTGGAAGCGCGAGCGCATCTGCGGCCGCCGTGTCGAGAATCATCCGGCGTGCGCTTCGTTTTTTGCCAGTTTGCTGCTTTTGTGATAGTTCGCGTGCTTTTTTTACCAAGCTTTGTTTACATCGGTGGTCTCTTCTGAGTGCTTGCTCATACTGCGGTGCTATGTTGCCGCAAAAAAAGTTCCGGAGCGTCCACAAGTACGGCAAGCGTCGGAAAGCTTGGAACAAAGGGCAGACGACTGCGGCTGCCGTCCCAGTCGCAGTTCCGGACGGAGCATGCTCTTCAAGCGTCACGGAGCCTCTACTCAGACCCTCCGCTGATTGTTGTGAGGCCGAGAGTGTGGAAGGTGCCACATCGTCGTATGTCAGACCGCCGGATGCCGTCGACCGTGATGGACGCTCTCGCGAACCCGATTGCGGTGGCACCGCGTCGGCAGCCGTTGCAACTCCGGGCGTGCGCGCGTCGAACATTCTATCGCGAGTTTCGGCCCAGATTCCGAGCAGTGAAGAAATCGCGCAGCGGGCGCAGACAAGGCGGGATGTTTTGGATGCCGTAGCATCGAAGTCCGCTTCAAAGCGGAAGCTCGAGCTTCTGAACGAAGGCTGCGACGAAAATGACGGCGGTAAGGACTCCACATTCTTCATTGTAAATAAGAAGATGCTGAACGGTCTGCTTTCGTCAGTAAAGTGCAACAAGTGCGACGAAGGGTCGATACGCCTCGAGACTACGCACTGCCTTGGACTCGCGGCGAGGATGGAACTTTTTTGTGACAATTGTGGCAGAGTGAACAGTGCGTGGTCGTCCCCGAGGTGCTCCGGGCAACAAAAAACGAACCCCTTTGAGGTAAACGTGCGTGCTTTGAGGGCTGTGCAGTCAGTTGGCAGAAAACAATCTGCCATAAATGACATTTTTTCTGCGATGGACATTTCGCATCGAGCACTGCACCACAAGTCCTACCAGAGGCTGCAAAGGAAGTACAGCCACCCTGCCACCACATCAGCTGCCACCCGCATTGAAGCAGAAAGTGCACAGAAGGTGCATGACATTTACAAGGACCTAGGAGGAGTGCCAGCCAACATTGACGTCATTTACGACGGCACGTGGATGACGAGGGGGCACAGAAGTCATATTGGCGTGGGCTGTGTAATCGAGCTGTACACAGGCTTGGTCTTGGACCACTGTGTCCTGTCCAACTACTGCCAAGGCTGTGCTGTTGGCCCCAAGCCTGGTGACGACAACTATGAGGAGTGGCTTGAGAAACACAAGCCACAGTGCCAAAAGAACACCGATGCTAATGCAGGCCAAATGGAAGTAGAAGCAGCTAGGATCATGTTTGAAAGATCGTTTACCAAGTACAAGCTTCGATACATCAATGTGCTCTGCGACGGTGACAGCCGTACGTACCTTGCCCTCACGCAAGACAAGGTGTATGGCTACATGGTGATTAAGAAACAGGAGTGTGTGAACCATGTGAAAAAAAGAATGGGCACTTCCTTGCGCAACCTTCTTGATGAGCACAAATCCAAAGGCCGAGGACTGAGCATGGGTGGCAAAGGCCGGCTGACGCAGGGCCTGATAAAGAAGTTGACGAATTATTATGGCTGGGCCATTAAGAGCCACCCCAACGATGTTGCTGGCATGGAGAGGGCCATCATGGCCACTTATTACCATGTAACATCCACAGACCAGGATCCACACCACAACCTGTGCCCAAGTGGGACTGACTCCTGGTGCCCGCACAATCAGGCATTGGCCAAGGGAGAGCCGCTGCCGCCTCACAAACATAAACTGCCCCCTCACGTGCGAGTGGCACTGATGCCAATCTACAAGCGTCTCTCGAACAAAGAGCTCCTTGAAAGGTGTGCGCAGGGAAAAACCCAGAACGCTGTGGAGAGTATGAACAGCCTCATTTGGTCACTCCAGTCCAAGAGCCAGTTCGCCTCCCTTCGAAGTGTGGAAAGTGCAGTTGCAGATGCAGTCTGCCGTTTCAATGGTGGCTGCAAGAGTGCGCTGCAAGAGATCACTGCTCAACTGGGCTTCAATCCAGGAGACTGCTCTTTGCGGCGAGCAGCCGAAAAGGATGCCAAAAGGGTAAAGAGGGCTCAAAAGGCGCATTGTTCCACGACAAAGAAGCGCAAAACTGGGTTGCGCTCTACAGAGGCCAAGGCCACAGCATCTCAGGATTACTGCCCAGGAGGATTCTGAGTGTTTTAGGCATGTTGTGAACTTCCAAACAAGAGTGAACTTTCAAAGTCAGTTTTCTCAACTCTTGATTTTCGCCTATGTGCCTTCGCTAGAACATCTGTCATTTTCTAACAAAGACTGATAGAGTCGTTTCGTTTTTTGCACTAGGCTCAGGAGGCCTTTAGCAGTGCAATAAAGCTTTATCTCTCTTCTTACTCATCATTTAAAATTTTTAGAACACATTTTATAATTACTGCAATGTGTGCGCAAAACAACATCCATGTTTTGGAAATTTTATTTATGGTTACAAGAACTAGAAAAATCAACTAATAGCTTCTTTGCACAAGTTGATGCTTTGGGAACATAATAATATGAAAAAATAATTTCATTTAGCAATAATTATCTCTTTAAGTGTGAAGAGCATTAATTAGTATAATTATGCTTGTAACTCAAAAAGTACAAGAGGTATTTGAAAACGGTTTTCATATTTGGAATCCTCACAATCATCCACATACACACACCAAATTTCATCACAAACAGTACATTAATAAAAAAATTAGTTTTACTTGCCACGTCCCCCCTTAAAGACTGTAAAATTTCGAAATTTTCCAGAAATCACCAGTGAAAGTTCAGAGCCAAGAGACTGCGACATAAAACTTCATAACTTAGGGGTAAAACTTAGATACTCGCATGAAATTGCATATTTACACTATTTGAATATTCAGCAATATACAGGTTCAATTATAGCTCTTTTGATGCATTACGTTTTATGCAAGGCACATCCCAAATTCATAAAAAAAGAATAGTTGTAACTTTTTTTGGATTGATGTAAAGAAAATGTAATTACATATTTTGAATCAGTGTACAAGGCTGAATATTCCCTGGAAAAACCATGTCTCTAGGCCTAATACTAATATATTTCACTATAGGGTCCCATGTCCCCCTTTAGTAACACTTTTACAGTCAGCGCTCACACGAGTTGCCGTGCTACTCTGGCCAGTGAATTCAGCGCTTGTCCTCACCCTTGCGAAAGCGTGGTCCCTGTCCGGGTGCAAACTGTGCCACACTGACAGGGGTGGCAGGCATCAGGTACTGGGGTGCCATGGTTATGATGTGCTGCCCGGCGGGCATCAGCTGCTGCGGAGGCGCCTGGCCGACCCCGACCGACGGGGGACCCACCAGAGGGCTCGAACTGAGTCGCACACTGCCCGTTGGGGTCGTGACCACTGCGCCGCCGCTGCCACCGGCGCCGTTGGGCGGACTCGTCAGAGGCAGAAGGGTGCGCTGAAAGTCACGCGAGAGGTCATCATGAAACCAACCAAAGTATGCTTGGCGCAACTTATTGGTTTCAAAACATTTGCAAAAGAGTTTTCTACAGTCAAATCTCATTACAGAGAAGCTCAGATTCACATTTTCAGATTGATGACTTTTTCGGAGATCCCCTCCGCCAAATGCTCATTGATATAACGTGAAAATATTTCACTACTACGAATTTCAGAATATTGAATGTTTCAGAATAACATATCGAATTTTATCCCCCTCACATCTTTACAACACTTCAATATAACAATTAGTGAATTTAAAGAGTTACTCACACTTGTGAAAATAATCCCCAGCTTTGTACCTGCCCCTATCATCATAATCGCAACGCCCTCGTATTTCTTTATGCGCTCGCTCTATTCAAATGGGCAACAGCCATATCACCATCATCATCACCAAGTACTTGTTTTTTCGCATCGGGCTTCGTGCCATTGCCTTTGTTTTTATCGGGCAGCTTTACCTGCTCACTTGTTACACGGTTATTTCTAGCCTTTTGGTTGGTAGTTGAACATTCAAGATAACCTCCTGAAGCACCATAAAATTCTCAGACAGTGAAAAATGTGACGAAAGTGACCTATGGGATGAAAGTCGCCAATCGAACATTACGGACAGTGCGACGACGAAGCGGGCACGTGAGCTTAGCTGACGACCAGTATGATTATAACCATTCGTGGTGACAAGAGAATGGCGACGACAGCGAAAACCGCATGGGCGAACGGCGTGGGCGAACCAACGTGAAAAATCGATATTTAACGCCGATGCTTCGCGGTGCGTAAGGATGCACATGCTTAAAGTAGGCTTTTGCGAATATTCGAGTGCTTCGATTATTCGAACAAATAATAGAGTATTCGAATTCACTGTGATTCTTATTTAGGTTCTCAAATATATCAAAGTATTCGATACGAACGAATAGGTGTATGTTAGGCCCTATGCAACAGCCTGTAAGGATCGTTTCAATGCAGTATAACAGTACTAAGCCTTGACAACAATAATCCAAGAGAACTTTGCTCTGCCAGTGAAGCCCCACTTCAAAATAAAAGGGTCCTGCAACAATTTTTGAGCATGGTTAGCAAACACTGCCGATCGGCAGTCTAGCTAGTAAGAACACGCGAGCTGAATATTGTGGCGCAGCACACGACCTGACATTCACCAAGTCAAATGAAAATTTCTACCTTCTCTAGGCAAATGATGCCGCAATGTCAAAAATTCCTTGTCACGGCAATTGTACCAGCCATTGACTGATTTGAGCATGTAGCGCTCGGCCGTTACTGGGACGGCTGTGGGTGGTCGTGATTTGTCGATGTGTACATGTGCGATCACACTGAAAAGCAGCTTAAAGAAAAAAACAGAGAGAGCGCTCAAGATCACAATGCGCACAATAAGAGAACTCTGCTCACACTGGACATACCGTATTTACTCGCATAATCCTCAAACTTTTTTGGGCGGAAAACAGATGCAAAGTTGGGGGGTGCGAGAATTACACAGGGAGAACTTTCCAGAAAAACGTGCAATGCAAAAAAAAAAAAAAAACCACTCAAGTGGCCGCAAATCAGGATTCTCACACCAGCAAGTAACAGCAAGCTTAGAGAAGTACTAATTAATAATTAAGACTTACCTCGACATTAAAGGCCCTGGTTCAACACAAGGCAAGGTTTATTTGAGATACTAAAAGTGCAAGCAAATAGTCGAGAATTAGAATACCATACGCAAAGCTTGTGGGTGTTGCGGCCGTAGCGGTAGCATTCGTCTCGCAAGAGGAGCCCTCAAAAGGTAAGCCCTCACAGTATATATATATGTATCTACAGTTAAACCTCGTTATAACGAGACGGGCCTATAATGAAATAATGGATATAACGAGCAAATCCTAATTCCCCTTGAAAGTCCCCATAAAACCAATGTATTGAAAACCTCATTTTAACGAGGCGAAATTTGCCTGTTATGGGATATAACAAACATATTTTGTTAGGAAGTAAAATTTTGAGCCGATGTCACGACAGTGCACAACGCGAATTTGAGACGGCGCGCAATTTGAGAACTGTATTTAGCAGTTCAAAACTCCCGCCACGCGCCCTCCAGCAACGCGCGCAAAGCAGACGGCACGCGCTGTTTCCGGAGGACGAGGTCGCTGCACGTGCGCTTGGCTACCACCGACAGCGGAGCGCTCCGCGAACGTCTCGCCCTTTTCTTTTCATTTGTGTCTTCTTTATATTCTCCCTCTCCCCTTTCTCATGGCGCTGAGGCGCACTTCCTAATCTTACATACCCCCTTCCCCTTGAGTAACCGGTTCCTAGAGGGCAGCGCAAAAGAGCGCCCCTTCTGCCCCTTCCTCTTCACAGTCACTTTCTTTGCAAGTGTTGTCGCTCGCCGACGGGAGCCGCGTTGCTTTTGCGTTCGTGTTTCTTCTCTTTTTCGACCGCTTCCGCCTTATCTTTTATCGTGCTGCGCTCGTGATTCCAGCAACATGAATGCGCCAGGCGGGAAGCGAAAGCGCATAACGCTAGATCAGAAGGCGACTATGATAAAAGCCGTCGAATCGGGGACCAAAAAGGCAACGTGGCAAGAGACTTTGGCGTATCGACGAGCACACTTTCAACCATCTTGAGCAAGCAGGATTCCATCATCGACGCTGTTGCACGTGGCGTGAGAGGAAGCGCTAAGAGGATGAGGGCACCTGCCTTTGAAGCGGACGAAAGGGTCGTTTTTAAATGGTTCTTGGACACGCGGGCCGTGAATCTGCCGGTGGGCGGCGCCTTACTGCAAAGAAAAACGAGAGACTTTGCCTGCATCATGGGCTATGACAACTTCGTAGCAAGTTCGGGTTGGCTCCAACGCTTTAAGGAGCGCCCCGACATTGTCGGGAGAGCGGTCTGCGGCGAATCGCAATCTGTCGATGAAGCAGAGGCTACCAAGTGGGCCAAAGAAAACATCGTGCGGCTGCTAGAAAAATACAGCATGGAGGATATTTTTAACGCGGACGAAACCGCTCTTTTTTTCAAGATGTTGCCGCACAAGACGTTAGCCCTCAAAGGCGAGCCGTGCCGTGGCGGCAAACAAAGTAAGCTGCGGATCACTGCGCTACTTTGTGCAAACATGACCGGCTCTGAAAAGCTGCCAATTTTCGTAATTGGCAGCTGGCGGCGTAAATACTTCAGGCGGCGTGGATGAGTGTGACGGCGACCACGATCGCAAACTGCTTTCGACACGCCTCATTTGCCGCCGCACCAGACGCCAGCGATGAGCCATCAGACGAGCCCACTGTGCCGGACGGTTTTGCCACATCAGACAAAGTCGCTGCATCATGGACGGCACTTCGTGACGCCGGTGTCGTGCCTGACAGCGAGTCGTTTTGCGACTATGTGAGTGCGGACTCTGAAGTGGTGGCAACGGAGCAGCTCCTGGATGACGATATTGTGCGCGCTGTCAGTAATCGTAACGAAACCAGTGACGATGACTCTGTCGACGAACAGGAGACAAACGTCGTCGGAGGCATTAGACGTGGTGGACGTACTGCGTCACTACTTCGGCGCTCACGAGGGTGGCGAAGATGGCTTGAACATTGCGGCCGCAGCTGAGCGAGTCATCGTTTGCATCAGGAAGATGCATCAACCTCCAATTACGGACTTCTTTGCAGCTAAGCCTGCCTGAAATGCAAGCTGTGTATTTTGAAGTGCATTAAAACAGGTGCATGACTTTTTCCTTTTCATTTGGGAATGCGGTTATTTTGTTGCATACCACCGTGCGGCGGGATGCTATTTCGCCCTCTATTTTTTGGGGGGGTAAGTACAATGCATAATATTTGCAGTAAATGCCCTCTACGGCTATAACCAAATATTGGTTATAACGAGCAAATAGAGGCGGCCCTCCAATTTCGTTATAACGAGGTTTAACTGTATATATATATATGAACACTCAAAGAAAAAAAGCTGCCCGCGCGATGCGCTGAGCTCATCACGATGCGCCGACGCGAGCTTATCTCTCCCGTGTACTTTGCTCCATGGATGGATGCCTGAGTGCGCGCGCTTATCCTTTGGTGGGGGAATCAAGTGCCTTCGGCTTACACTCAAATGAAAGCGTTATTGGCCGGGCCCACAAAGGTCACTTTGGTCTCTGCACAGGCCTCTTTTTCAAAAACAGCGCGCTTTTCATACACAGCGAGGTATAACAACTGGGACACTTGTTAGTTTGCACTCATCTGTACCTGTGATTACGTATCGTGCATTGTTTGTTTAAACAGCGCGTTACATGTCGAGCAATAAACATTGTTAGTTCGCTCTCGTCTTGTATCATTTTCATGCGTCATTTGTGTGTGAGCAGCGGGCAGCACGTTTCAATCTGCTTGCCGTTCTCAAGAGTTAAGGCTCATTTACACCGAAAGCGGCGCGGCAGAAGAGGTTTGCATCTCGAGCTTTTGCGTTCTGATTGGCTGCGGCAAAGCAGCGAGCCCCGGCAGGCGGCAAAAAATTGCTCTGAGAGCGATCGCCTTTGCCGCCTAGTTTTTCTTCCACTTTCGCCGCCTAGAGAGGAGGTTTTCCCCACTTTCCGTGTTGCTGCCTCACCGCTTTGGCTGCCCTACCTTCGGTGTGAACGAGCCTCCACATTCCAAGTTGTTGCTGTCGCATGTATTGATTGGCCCTTGCGGCGAAACTAACTGTTTTAGTTTTTTATGTATTTACTGCCTTTAACCTACCGCTGCGTGCCCTCGGAGTTCATAAATCGCTATCGCCTCGCCGCAACCGCGGTTTTGTGCGCGGCGGTTGCGGCAAACGGCAGTTCATTTTACAATTCCCATGCGCTTGGCTGTGCACGCACCTTCAAAACTAAGTCGTTTTATGCCACTTGCGATAGCATCTGCCGCAGTTTTGTCCGCGAAGTTTGCGGAAAGCGTTGCTTTGAGTGGTTGAGCGCAAACTTTCAGAATTGTCACTTACGTCGTCGCCATACATAATCGTGTCAAAAGCGACTGC